GCCCGGAGCCGGCTCACCTGGGAGGGAGACTGTGGGGGCGCTCGGCTTTGGCCCAACGAGCTGCAGCTGCCCGGGTCCTCGACCGCCTTCCTGGCGGCCTTCCTCCCTGATCATCGCCGCTGCCCCCGGCGGATTGGTAGAAGAGGCACCGGGAAACGCAGCCTGGACAGAGGCGGGCACGGCTGGGTGCAGGGCGGGATCGCCGCGGAGCTGGGAGCAGGGAGGCAGGGGTTGGGGGGGCCGGTTGCAGGTTGGTGGCCCTGGGTCTGTGCCGGGCAGTGATGCAGTGCGCACCCTGCATCTACACTGCATCCCACTGGATCCAGCATCAGCCCTCCCCCCCTTCCCCCCCACTCCCCACGGAGCTGCCCCGACGCAGGGACATCGATGCCCCAAGTGTCAGGAATGGGGGGCGGGAGAGGGGAGCTGTTGTGCCCAGTGCCGCTATATTGGGTCTTGTACCGGGTACAGAGACTAAGGCATGGGTGTCCTAAATTAGAAGCAAGTTTATTGAACCCTGCCAGATACAACCGTAAATGAATAATGAAGCATTTTCAGCGGTTATAACTGAGCTGTACTTAGTGCAAAGCAAGAAAAGATGCTGACCACCCCAGGATTGAATGGAGGTGACGTCAGAGCACGGCCAGTCCACGAGCTCTTTACTGAGGTTCCCAACTCTTTCGTCTGCGATATGGATGTTAGATCCACGACCAGATCGTTCAGGACTAGGTTCAGGAGGGTACATGCCCTCCCCTTTCTTTACATACCAGATAGCTTGCATTTCTTAATACATTTCTTAATACAAGCTATAGAATACAGAAAATCAACTCAAACCTTTCTGCTAGTGCATATTATCAGTCATGGAATCATAGAAAATAAGGGTGCAAAGGGACCTCAGGGGGTCACATCCAGTACAAACCCTGCTCAAAGGAGGACCAGCCCCGATTAGATCATCCCAGCCAAGGCTTTGTCTAGCTGGGTCTTAAAAACCTCCAAGGATGGAGATTGCACCACTTCTCCAGGTAATCTGTGTTGCTGTTTCACCAGCCTCCTCCTGAGAAAGTTCTTTCTAATATCGAACCTCAACTTTCCTTGCTGCAGCTTGAGCCCATTGCTCCTTGTCCTGTCATCTGCCCCCACTGAGAACAGTCCAGCTCCATCCTCTCTGGGACCCCTCTGCAGGGAACTGAAGTCTGCTATTCATCCCACTCCCGTCCCTCAGTCTTCTCTTCTCTAGACTAAATCAGCCCATTTCCCACAGCCTCTCCTCATAAGTCCTGTGCTCCAGCCCCCCAACCACTTTTGTTCTCATTTGCTGGACTCTCCAACTTGTCCACATACTATCTGTAGTGGGGGACCTAAATCTGGACACAAGACTCCAGATGTGGCCTCACCAGTGCAGAATTGAGGGGAAGATTCACTTCCCTTGATCTGCTGGCAACGCTCCTACCAATGCAGGCCAGGATGCAATTAGCCATCTTGGCAACATGGGCACTGCTGGCTCATACCCACCTTCTTGTCCACAGTAACCCCAGGTCCTTTTCTGTGTAGTTGCTGCCCAGCCAGTTGGCTCCCAGCCTGTACCGATGCATGGGATTGCTCTTTCCTAAGTGCAGGACTTTGCACTTGTCCTTGTTGAACCTCATGAGACTCCTCCTGGTCCAATGTTTCAATATGTTTGGGTCACTCTGAATTATAGCCCTACTCTCCAGCATATCTACTACTCCCCTCAGGTTGATGTCATCTGCAATCTTGCTGAGGGTGCACTGCATCCCATCCTCCAGGTCCAAGATGAAGACATTGAACAAAACCGACTCCAGGACTGATCCCTGGGGGACTGCACTTGACACTGCTTCTGTTTGCCAAATGTGGTTACCTTTAACTAGGAGTCTCTATTCCAAGGTCCTCTTTTCATTCTTAGGTTGGGGTAGGTTTGCTCTCACTGTTCCTCCTTTGCTCAGGCTATATTTATTCAATTTAGTTAGCCAACTCTCCAATTTGTTTTTAGCCAGGGACAGTATTTTTCCATCTGCTCCTTTCATTGGATGCATGTCTTGACCACAAGCTAAGTGTTCAGCTTAAGATAATCACAGAGGTCAAAACTCAGGCCTGAAGGCCTCTAGGTCCCAACACAGCACCATGCGAGGTCCCTACCTGAGGGTCCAAGCCTGTGTAAAGCCTCCCCAGGGCTGGTGTCTGCCTGGACAGAGGAGCAGGAGCAGGGGTCAGGGCAGGTGTCCAAGGAGGAACAGAAGTGCAGGGGTAGATGGCAAGGAGTCTGCACCATCCTGCACTTGACAGGGAACAATGTGGATTTCTGGCAATTTTGTCTTGTTTTATGCTGTGTAATTGTATAGCTTCAAAGCATTTTTCCTTGATGGTTAGCCAATTAAAGTCTGAACAAAACGAGGAGGAAAATGGTGACCATCACAACACAATTGTTAAATTGCCTGGTTCCTGTTTTTGGATTTGTCCAAGTGTGAAGACTTGTGTTTCTCGCAATTAAATGTGATGGGCCAGGAGCTCTCCTCTGCCATAGGTGGATGGGGTTGGGCTTGCTGCAAAAGGGAAATGGAGTGGCGGGGGGGCCTTGAGCACTAGCCCTGCCAGTGAAGAGCCTGGCATGCAGGGACTATGGCATGGGCAATGCTGATGGCTGAGCGTGCCCTGAGGGCTGTGGTGCAGCCCCATGGGGGTCTTGCGAGGGTGGGGGAAGCATTGCGCCTGCCAGGGTTCAGAGACAGAAACAGGACAGAGAGGGAAGCTTTGCTTAGAGGCCACAGCTGCCTTGGGGCAATGTTTTGTAATACCTGTGTCTTTGGGCCCATGAGTCCAGCCGATCCCTGCCTGAAGATGGGGTGCCGAGGTCTGCTGGCCCTTCTGGGCAGGGCAAGAGGCAGCTGTGGGGGACACCCTGTGTGCCGGGGTGCATGTGGGCCTGCAGTGCTGACACTCAGAAATGCACCCCACAGACTCTCTGGACTCTTCTGCTCTGTGCTGCAGCCTTTCCCAGGCTTTCCATCCCAGAGGGGAGCAGGGCTGGTGTAGGCTGGATCCTGCTCAGTCCCATTTTGCCTGCTTGCTAGCCACGATGTGCACTACCATGGTCCCAGTGATCAGCACCCCTAGTACCAGCAGCAGGACGAGCCCCTTGGCCTGGCAGTAGGACAGCGATGAGGCTGGAACTAGAGCAAGGCAGCGGGTTAGAGCCAGTGAGAGGGGCTGGGTGCCCCCAGAGAGGGAGCACAGGAGGAAAGTGGCACCCCCAAACTCACCAAGCACAAACAGCTGAAAATTACTGGTGATTCCAGAGCCATCCCTCAGCTTCATGTCCATGGTGTAGAGGCCACTTTCTTTCTCTGTGACTGAGTTAATCTGCAGCGACAGATTCCCAGGGTGGAAAGAGACTCTGCCAGCAAAAGGCAGAAACGGACTGGTCAAGGTGCCGTTCTGATCGTGTCTGAGGATCCAGTAGTGCTCTGAACGTAGTTTCACTTTCCAGTTGATTGCCACCCAGGACGACGGCCATGTCTTGGGCTGAAGCTGAACCGTCTCCCCAACAGCAGCCTTCACTTTTACTTCTTGACAACCTGGGGGTTCAGAAGGGCAAGCGGGAGAGAAAGGTTAGCAGACCCCTCAGCTCCTTAGGGAAATACAGGCTGCCGCACACTTCTCTTGGGTGCAAAGGGCACTTAGAGGCAAGCCATGTCTTGCACTTTCTACAGAACAAGTAGAAAAGATGACTCCCCATGGAAGCTCCTACTGCTTTATGATAACCCTCATCCCAGCCCAGGGCACTCCTCTGCAAAGCATGGCACAAACACAGCTCCCAAAGACAGTCTCTGCTCCAAAGACCCCCCCCGCCCCTCCCATGCCTGAGCTCGCCCAGGCTGCACCCAGGGAAGAGCAGCCCCTTGTCACTCACCTCCAGCTTGGAGGAGCAGAAGGAGGGAGAGCAGGAGGGGTCCGAGAGCCCCCTTCATCCCAGCTGAGCTGCGCAGGGCAGGCAAGTGCAGACCAGGCGGTGGAGAGCAATGTTATGTGGCCAGGCTGAAGAAGTCAGATGCAGAAATGATGAATAATGAGGAAGCAGGCTGACTTCTCCCTTCAGGATTCAATCCTGCAGGCCCTGAGCACCCCACGAGTGTAAGCAGCCCTGCATAAAGCAAGGGAGAGGTGGCTTGAGTGGGGCTGGGCTGTGGCTCGGTCACCCAGCAGCAGAGGAAGTGTGAGAAGAGGCGGAGGGCAGTGTGACTGGACGTTGGGTTCCGCTTCCAACACCCTCATGCACCGGTCATGCTGGGGCATGGCAAAACCCTGACTCAGGGGTGCCTCCTGCAGCATAGAAACCCCCTCCCAACCCAGCCCGCTGGCAGTTCCTTCTGCTTCATTCCTGGCTGCACAAAGCGGGAACGGTCAGAGAAGTGCAGTGACAGGGTGAAACTACCAATGTCTTTACTGGAGATTCATTGCACAGGAAGGGAGCAGACTGGGGGATGGAAGAGGTTAAAGGAGAGGAGGGGGTTTAATACTGCCATCACTCAGCAGCTCAGCCAGGATCCATAGGGCTGCCCACCCTTTCCCCTCTCCCTCACTCTGCTCCATGCTGGGGCAGGAGCCAGCCTCAGCCCCGGCATAGCCAAGATCTCCCTGTGCTGAGCTAGTGCAGTACAGGCTATTCCTGTTGTTGTTACCTGTGTGACGGCCCCAGGGCCAGGTCGGCCAGTGCCACAGAGGCAGGAAACAGGTTGCGGTCCTACCGTTCACCAATTGCACCCGATGCATGAGACAAACACGGACCCTGGGGCTGCTCTTACATCAAAGTGCCACTGCTAGTGCCTGCCAATACAGTGAGGATGAGGTATGTACCAGCCATGGGATGTCCAAATCCCCCCATCCAGGCCCTCCTGCCTTGCTGGCTTGAACGAGCAAATCCTGCTTGGCCAGCTGAACTGTCTCAGTGTTTCCAGGATCCCAGGGCTCTAATCCAGACTGGTTCCTGTGCGCACGGGGAAGCTGCGGGTTGGCATCCTAGTGAAACTGCCAGGAGGATTTCCCATCCCCTGGCTCACTGACCTGAAATGCCCCTTGTTACCCCCAACAGACGTGCTGCCCCCTTACTCTTGTCTGCTAAGTGCTGAGCAGATGGGCTGAGACCGCTTCCCATGAATGCACGGCTGCAATACCGTGACACTGAAACCATGCAAGGAGGCTATACTCATTTCTCATTCTTGTTTTAAACTTAATTCAATTTCCAGGCCAAATCTGTTCCAAATTAAGTTGCATGCAAGCTGGAGGCCTTGGGGTTCAGATGCCCCCTCATCTCACTTACACTGAGCCAGAAGGAGGAAGCTAGAGGGAGAGCCTCACAGCAGCCCCTCATCACTATAAACTGTGTAGCCAAAATCCTTGCCTTGGAGGCATTTGTAGACTCTTGCAGGGCTGCCCACGCACGGTGCAAGGGACAGGCCTCTACCCTCAACAACAGCTTACAATCATAGGGTCATAGAAAATGAGGGTGGGAAGGGACCTCAGGAGGTCTAATCTAGGTCCACCCCCTGCTCAAAGCAAGATCAGCCCCAGCTGCATCATCCCAACCAAGGCTTTGTCTAGCTGGGTCTTAAACACCTGCAAGGATGGAGATTTCACAATGTCTCTGGGCAATCTATTCCAGTGCTTCACCACCCTCCTAGTAAGAAAGCTTTTTCTGAATATCTAATCTAAACAATCCTCTGTTGCTGCAACTGGAGCCCATTGCTCCTTGTTCTGTCATCTGCCACCACTGAGATCATTGCAGGTCCATCCTCTTTGCAACCACCCTGCAAGGAGTTAAAGGCTGCTATTAAATTCCACTCAGTCTTCTCCTCTGCAGACTAAATAAGCCCATTTCCCTCAACCTCTCCTCACAAGTCATGTTCCCCAGCTCCTGAACCATTTTCATTGCCCCCCACTGGACTCTCTCCAACATGTCCACCTCCTTTCTGTAGTGGGGGCCCCAAAACTGGACACAGGATGCCAGATGTGGGCTCCTCAGTGCTGAATAGTGGGGAAGAATCACTTTCCTCGATCTGCTGGCAATGCTCCTACCAATGCAGCCCAGGATGCCATTAGCTTTCTTGGCAACAAAGGGCACACTGCTGGCTCATATCCATCTTCTTGTCCCCAGGTCTTTTTCTGGAGAGCTGCTGCCCAGCCAGGCGGCTCCCAGCCTGTACCACTGCATAGGATTGCTCCGTCCTAAGTGCAGGACTTTGCACTTGTCCTTGTTGAACCTTGTGAGACTCCTTTTGGCCCAGTCCTCCAATTTGTCTAGGTCACTCTGAATCCTAGCCCTACCCTCCAGTGTATCTACTACTCCCCCCAGCTTGGTGTCATCTGCAATTTTGCTGAGGGTGCACTGCATCCCATCCTCCAGGTTGTTGATGAAGACATTGAACAAAACTGGCTCTAGGACTGATCCCTGAGGCACTGCTCTTGATACCACCTGCTTCTGTTTCCCAAATGTGGTTACCTTTAACTGGGAGTCTCTATTCCAAGGTCATTTTTTCATTGCTAGGTGGGGGTAGGTTTGCTTTGCTTGAATTTGTTCCTCTTTTGCTCAGGCTGAATTTATTCAAATTAGTTAGCCAACTTCCCAGTTAATTTTAAGGTGGGGACAGTATTTCTCCACCTGCTTCTGTCACTGGATGCTTGTCCTGACCACAATTCAAGATAAGCAAAGATTCACAATTCAAGATAAGCAAAGATTTTGACAAAGGTCAAAACCTGAAGGCCTCTGGGTCCCAACACAGCACCCTGAGGGGTCCTTGCTCCTGGGTCCAAGCCTGTGTAAATCCTCCCCTTGGGCGCCAGGGCCAGTATCTGCACGAGCAGCAGGCCCAGCCCCTCGGCCCATCAGTAGAGCAGTGCCTTGCCTGGATGGAGGAGCAGGAGCGGGGCCAGGCTGGGCACCTGGGAGGCCACATCCCCAGGGCAGGTGTCCGAGGAGGGACAGAAGTGCAGGGGCAGGTGGCAAGGCTTGTCAGGAGCTCCCCTCTTTCAGGGCTGGGCTGGACTGGGCTCACGGCAAAGGGGGAATAGTGTGGGGGGACCTTGGGCACTAGCCCTGCCAGTGGAGACCCTGGCACACAGGGACATTGGCACAGGGAAGGCTGATGGCTGAGTGTGCCCTGAGGACTGTGGTGCAGCTAGTAGGGCTCTTTGGGAGGAGGTTGGCGAAGCATAGTCCATGGCAGGGTTCAGAGATGCAGATAGGGATGAGGGGGGAAGGTTTGTTTAAAGGCTTCAGCTGGCTCCAGGGCAGCAGTGTATTGTACTGCCCATGCCTGTGGGCCCCTGAGCCCAGCCAGCCCCTGCCCTGCAGACTGGGGGCCAGGGTCTGGTGGCCCCCCTGGGCAGGGGAGGAGGCAGCCTTGGGGGGACCCTCTGCTCCAGGGTGCCTGTGGGCCTGCAGTGCCAGATGCTGCATCAAGGACTGGATTCTGGCACCGGGACTCAGACCCCAAACACCCACCGGCAGCTTCCTCTCCGTGCTTCAACCTCCTTCCCTCCCAGAGGGGAGCAGGGCCTGCATGGGCTGCGCCTTGTTCAATCCTGTTTTGACTGCTTGCCAGCCACGATGTGCTCCACCATGGTTGTGGCGATCAGCACCCCCAGCACCAGCAGCAGAATGACCCCTTGGCCTGGCTGTAGGACAGTGGTGAGGTGTGGGAGGGCGGTTGTGCTGGAACAGAGCAAGGGAGAAGTGGCTCGTTCTGCCCCGTGGTGTTTCCCCTGGGGGCAGTGGGGATGGGGCTAGCCCCTGGGGTGCTTCCAGGGGGGAAGGAGCCCTCCATGGAGCTCTGGGGCTGGGCCCTCCCTGCACAGAGATGGTGCATGTGACTCCCTCTGTAGTAGGGTCAGGGGAAATCTGTAGGGCAGATATTCGGGGTGGAGAAGGGGCAGCATCTAGAGTAAGGTGCTTCCTAGCAGCAAACATGTGGGCTTGATGCTTGTTCCAGAGGGGAACAAGGCCTATAAGGCCCAGCTTATCTTGCAGTAAACGTCAAGTGCACAGTGCAGACAAGAACAAGGTCCTGCTCCCCTCTGGGAGGGAAGGCCTTTAAGCCCCAGCTTGGGCGATGCTGGGTCCATGCAGGAGGGTCCTGCAGGTGGAAGACCCTCGCAGGGATGTGTCCTGTGTAAGATGCCCCTGATGACTGATATTTCTATCCAGGGCTCATTGCTCAGAAATATCTATGCTCGTGAGCTCTTAGATTGGAGATGACAAGGGTGCTGCACAACATGTCTTTACTCTGGCTGCGGCTGCAGTGCTCAGAGCCCGGATCTGTCCAGTGCCCCCTGCTTCGCTGATGTGTGGGGAAAGCACAGACTGCTCCCCAAGACTGGGACAGAAGCCTGAGTGCTCATCCTGCCCTTCCATGGAGGGGGATTCACATCCCCAGGGTCATCCATCTCCTTGCCTGTGCCCTTCCAGACCTTTATATTAAATAGGCTGTCACACTTAAAACGTCGGGGAGGAGTGCCATGGGGTCTTGGATGGGGAGTGACTGTTTAACCCCTACATTTTCAGAATTATCTTTGCTACAGAGTTAAAAAATTACTGCACTCACTATAGAGGTGCAGTACGAAGAGCATGATGAATATGCTTGTGCCCGTGATGACTTCTGATGTGTAGGACCCCACGTCCTCCAGCCTCAGGTCAGTGATTTGCAGTGAGGGGCTGTCATCAGAGAGCTGCAGGCAGCCCTCTTACTGACTGTCTATCACAATGACTCTTGGGGGGGGTCTCCTGGTATCACATTTGCTAGCCTGTCTGTGCCAACAATGCAGCTAGCAGCGTCAAATCTCTCCCCTGCCAGGATCCCGGGAGGAAATGTGACCATCAATGCCAGGGTCCCAACCAGCTCCTTGGGTGCTATACCTGGAAATGCTCCGAACCATACTGCACCTTGACAGGGAACAACATGGATTCAGGGTGACAGAGCTGGACCCCACTGTGTACACACACATTGCTGTTGGTCTCAACACTCTCAGTCCCATTTCAGCTGCTTGCCAGGAACAACGTTCACTGTCACGATCCTGGCGATCAGCACCTTGAACACCAGCAGCAGGATGAGCCCCTTGGTCCAGAGGGGAATGGGGGGCAAGGGAGAGTGACCCATACTGTCTGGCACTGGCTGCTCTGGGAGGACAGGGCCAGTGCCTGGGCTGCTTCCAGAAGGAGGAAAAGCGCTGCAGGGAGCTGCTCAGTGGCATGTCTGAGGGGCTTTAACCTTCTGAGGCACTAAGCTCTGTCCTGTCCCCCACGCACTCCACAGACGTAATCAGCAGCCCCCACCCAGCTGCAAACTCCTCCTGCACAGAGTTTCCAAAGTTGCAAAAGCTTCTTTCCAAATTGAAAAGAACCCTGCAGCTCCATGATTTCCCATTTCAAACACATGTAAATACCCAGTCCTCTTTGACCGAGGTCCAGGACACATTCAGATGAGAAACCTTCAGAGGACAAGCAGATGCTTCTAAGCCTGCTAGGCTGTTTGCAGGCTGCTGCCTTGTATTTTTGTGCAGTGCTCGGTGTTATCCCCTCACCCCCTGGCACAAGGGACAGTGCTAATACTCCTGTAAGTGCTCATGGAGCAGCAGCTCACAGGAGCTCCTGTCCTGGGGAAACGCTGGAAAAAACAGCACCACAGCAAGACCAAAAACCCTCCCTGCTTTGCAGAAACCAGCAGCCTGCACTCACCCCAGAGTTACCCAGAGATGTGCTGAAATCTTCATCCTTGCAGGTTTTTAAGGCCTGGCTAGAAAAAGCCTTGGCTGGGATCTGGGCCTGGTACCAGTTTGAGCAGGGATTTGGACTAGATGTGACCTCCAGAGGTCTGTTCCCACCCAATTTCCTGTGATTCTATTTACCCGGGGTAAATGCACCCCCTTCTCACTCACCCTGAACTTGGAAATGCAGGAGGAGGCACAGCAGAAAGGGACAGAGAGCTTCCCCCATTGTGGCAGGCATGTGAAGGGCAAGCAGTGGGGAGTGAGGCTGGAAGGAGTCAGACAGAGACATGACTGAGGAGAAACCAGGCCGACTTCCCCATAGAGGGCTCCATCCTGCAGGTCCTGAGTGCCCGCAGGTGCATCCAACAGTGAGGACGTTACTAGAAAGCAGAGTTGCTTTCAGTGAGACTGAGACATGCAGATACCCTTGCCAGGAACAGTGAAGGCATCAAGTACTGAAGGGGACCTGAGTGAGCCCGAGGGAGGTGGCTAGAAGCCAGGACAGTTCTGCCATACAGCAGCTTTTCGGGCGGTCTCTGCCCCTGCCTTGATACGGTGGGACCTTGCAGAGACTTGACTGAGAGGCATGCTCATGCTGCACACGCTTCCACCGCAGCAGCTATGTGCTTCCTCCCTCCTGTTCCTTCTCCTCTGTGGTTGGGCACTCCCAATACAGGGTGCAGAGCGCTCACAGCAGTGCCAAGAGATGTGGAAAACTGCAGAGAAGAAAACCTCATACCAGTTCTGTCATCCGTTTAGGAGGAAATACTGGCACAGAGACAGGCATGGAGGAGGGGGGAGCTGGAGGATGGAGATGGACACACAGCACCTGCAGCTAAGGCTTGAGGCGAATGGGACATTGCACTTGGCACCCCTGGCATGAGGGCAACCCTGAGGGGCCTTCCTTGCAGTGCCTTCTCTATGGTACTTATTGCTACTTTCTTGGTGAGGAGGTTTTAAGAGACTCAGCACAGTAGTTCCCACTGCCATGGAGCAATTAGGACCTGGTGTCTGGACAAAAAGTTTCTGGGTCCAGGCAGACGTCACGCAGCCCAGAAATCTGCACGGAGCCAGCGGGACACCGGGGAACATGGAAGCTAGGAAGGAGTCTCCGTTTTCCATGAAGTCCGGTGTAGCCAAGATCTTCCCGCTGGAGGTGAAGGTGGGAGGCTAACTGCATTACCGGGGGCAGGGTAGTACCCCGCCCAGAAAGAGCTGCTCGCCGCTAGGAGGAAACCCGCCTGCCTGGGCACGG